TTTGACATAAATACCACTAGTGATATTTCAAAATTGTCTCAAATTTCACTCGCCTAACGGCTCGTGAAATTACGTATAACAATTGCGAAATATCACTCTTGGTATTTATGCCAAATATCACTACAAATCATGCTATTACCTATACCAATTTACCGCTAAAACCAAAATCGAATTTTCTATATGGGGGAATTCTCCAAATCACCCCAAATCCCGCTGGTGTTCTTGCGAACGCTTGTAAAATAGATTGATTATTTTCAGGTTATTATGCCCCAAACAACTGCTAATTGACCCCAGGGTCAGTTGACACGTGCACATCACCTTAGTTTTATGCATCGATTTGAGCTCGTTAAAAGGGAGAAACTAACAAGATTCTTTTAATATGTACCTGTTTTAATGAAATACACGCAATCTTCAAAAGGAGAGGCCGTTCAATGGGTAATTTCTGTTCTTGAGATCTTGTAGATTGTACCATGGCGCCCGGGGGGGGCACTTTAGGAATTTCTGGGTGGGGATGTGCCGCTGGGAGCCTGGAACCCTTAACCTTTACCAGAGCTAGTTCAGCTGAATTTTGCTACCCTATACTAGAGTAAACTCCACAAATCCCCCTATCCTAGAGTAGCTGTGTACCTAGTCTAGATAAAATCTTCAACCAACTGATCAGTTTCCTGAAAAATGATACCCTATACTAGAGTAAACTCCCCAAATCCCCCTATCCTAGAGTAGCTTTGTACCTAGTCTAGATAAAATCTTCAACCAACTGATCAGTTTCCTGAAAAATGATACCCTATTCTAGAGCCAAACGCTCTGATTTATATACCCTATCCTAGAGTAAACTGCTTGAAAACCATACCCTTCTCAGCGGCACATACCTATATAGCCCATATATGGCAGTACCCCCCCCCCCCGGGCCATGGCGTCTGCGAGTGGACCTGAGTCTAGGTCTGTTTTCCCGTGACTGCGATATCAGAATAACATCATGAAATAATTCTCGCTCGAACCTTAGTAAATGAATCAGCTTTGCAGTGCCTTACCTGAGATAAAAGGTGGGCCGAATAGCAAAACATTTCTAGCGCAATTTGGATCCTTTGCAGCACGTAGTGTATTTGCTAAGGGCCCGGGCTAAGGGGCGACTGGTATCAATGACTTTTAATTAGTTACTCACCTCCGATTGCGTGACCAGGCAATTATCGATTGTCTCCTGCGAAAAATAAGTGCACGGGAAACCAAAGCTCTCGGGAAACAGTAAATTCATTTTCCTGTATGACCAGGTATCCTTTTGTCCTATTTTAAAAGCGGTTAACTAAGATGATTAGCAAACATACTGTCCCACTTTTAAAAATGGTACAGTAACTGAATGTTCTGTTCTCCTGATTTTACCCCCAACCCCGGAGTGTTCAGAAGATATATTTGCACTACGCATGAAAGGCAAATGGATTAAATTTTAAGGTTCAAGGCGGTTTTAAGGTATGGGTTACCAGTGGATTAGTCAGACTTGTCATAGGGTGCATTGAACAGAAAATTACAGGCATGATATCTCTGCTATTCAGTATGTCCATTAAGTGATTTTCCAGCAAACATTATTTTTTGACTTTTTTACCCCCTCAAATTTTTCCGTTCAATTCTTATCTATGAGATCTAAACTTAGTTAAATTTCTGTAATTTGTTGTTAAATGCAATTCTGCAAACAACTAAGTATTTAATTTTGCGTAAAAGCTGCATGAAATTGTACTGTTTAGCCGTAAACCATTAAAAAGAGAAAGCATCATGCTTTCTCTTTTCAAGTCTATTATGTCTGCTAAGGAGGGAATAGTTTGCTCTTTTCAAGAAATTGTTCTTGCCCGTTGCGGTTTCAAACCAAGGATAACAGCAAGTCTGTCGTGGTCAATGTGGTCATATACTGCTACTTCAGTGCAAACGAAGCATAGGCGCACAAGTCAGCGCTTGCGTTTAGTCAGGTGCCGAAACAACGGAAGTGGAAACTTAACCCCAAGGGCGTCCATGTTCGCTCCGGCTCGAAAAGGTAGAATCAGTTGTGCAGTAAAAAGTAATGCGAAAAACCTGCGGGGGCTGGGGAAAGAAAGGCGTCTTATTTTTCTTTGGCTTGTTCTATTTTCGCGACGTGGTACAGGCTACGAAATACTGACAAGCTCAGTATATGTCTTCAACACCGAGAGTCACTTGCCCTTAGC